GGCGGTTATCATTAGGCTAGTTAACTGTCTCGATATTTTTATTCAGTTAAGTGTTATTTTAACAAATTGTAAATATTCGTGAGCTATTAGTCGCGGTTGGCTTGCCCGATAACATTTAATTACGTGTACGATACAGATGCTAGCTTCCAGCGTGTTACCACTGTCAAAAACTTAGGAGTTTATCTCGAAACCAAGTTTAGTTTCGACTATCATAGGGAATATAATTTCTGCTGCCAACTCAAAGCTCGGTTTCCTAAAACGTACTCAAAGCAATTTATAGACCCGCTGAGTCTAAAAAGCATCTTTTCAAGCCTTGTTCGATCTCTTCTCGAATAGGCCAGCTTTATTTGGGATTCGGCATTCACAGCATATTCCGATCGATTAGAGTTCAGAGAAGCTTTACAAAATTTGCGCCATCGCACAATCTTCGATGTAGGATCTCAAACCTAGAGATCCTTTTTAGTAGAAGAAAAATTCAAGGCATTATCTTCATTAAGGACGTTATGCATAACAGAATTGATTCACCTGTGTTATTATCGCTTCTGTCCTTTAACGCTCCCGCCCGACCTCAGAGATAAATCTATCTTCTATATTACATATAAAAGAGGAAAAGCGGTTATGTCCGTATTTTTTTATCACAAAATATTCTCAAAAACCATGTATCATGTCAAAAACGATTATAAACAAAATCTTCTATTGACAATTGATAAAGTTGAAAACAAGGCGAATTTATATAAGGTGGTGTTACTAGATCAGCTGATTTTGTGTATGTGTTTCGCCTCACGGCTTCTAATGTCAAATTGAAAAATTTTGTTTGAATTTCCACACACACACTTATAAATTTTGACAGTTTATGCCGCCAAAGCAAAAACAAAATACATGTAAATTTTTGTTTTTGTTCTCCTGCTATCACCTTATATTAATTCGCCTTGGTTGAAAACAAGCGGTCTCAGGCTGGTATTCCAACGTGTGGGAAATAATATGCGTTAAAAAAATTCTAAAAACACTAGACGAAGAGAAAAGCTTACTAAAATGTGCTCAACGGAAACGGTTTTCAACACAAAAGAAAAAGGAAGCCACATTGCTAAATTAAATGTCGAAAAATACCTAACGGATGATAAAAATATATTCTTATCAGGTCAACGATCAAAAAACCGATTTGCTTTGATTGATACCACTGGTCAATCTGTTTCTTAATTTAAAAATCTAAGAATTTTTTGAAAAAACTGGCTAAATTAGTGGTGAGTTCGACTTTGACCTCGAATAACTTTTGACTGAGTAGACTTATCGAAAAATGACTTGCAACCTTTATTATAGCTTTCAATTCTCTAAAAAAATATTCCAAGACTTTTATAGTACAACGCATGATAAAAACATAACAAGGTGATAATAAAATGCTTGCAAACGTGAGAAAAAAATCATCGCCGACGAATTGAAAGAATGAATTTACCTTGTAGTGTTTTTGTCATGATACAACGTATCGTTCGTTAAATATAAAAATCAGAAGTAAAAAAAAAATAATTTTTCTTGTGTTACTCTTATGGGAAATCGAAAAGTGTGATGCGGACGTTCTTAATATTAAGGGCTAATATTTCCTATTTCCTGCAACTTATTTTGGCGTCTAAATGAAACTTTTGAGCATGGTTCCGAGGAGAAAAAAATTTCTGAATCACCCTCATAAATATATGAATGTATATATGTACATACATATGTATGTATGTTATTAAACGCGATCTTCAAAAGTGACACAACTCAAAATTGCACGTTCGTCAGAAAATGCGAAAAAATCTTTCTTAGTACAAGCTAATCACATGGATAAGAAAGACTTTACTTAAGGTTTTTCAAAAAAGTATAACCAAAATTTTTCCAGCTTCTGCTGAAAGGTAAATAAAAGCTCTGTGTACATTTTTAGTGCATAATTTAATGCGGAATTTTGAGTTGGTCACTTTTAAAGAATTTATTTTTTGTACTTAACTACTTAAAACAGCTTCGAACTTGATACAATTTTAAAATAAGTGGCTTATTCCTTAATTCTAAGATACGCTATGTAGCTTTGTACCTTAAAATAAAGTAAAAAGCGAGTTTTATCTTAAAATTTATCAAATATTAACTATTTAAGTTAAGTATGTATCTCCATACAAAAAAATGTGGGTTAGGCCACCACTGCTCCCACGGCCTCACGCGTATGAATGTTTGTATGTATGTATGTATCGTGCTTACGTACTCGTCAGTTTACAAGTCAAGTAGCACCTAAGGAGTTGTTAAGACGTTTGTTTGAAAAGCGCACCCTTTTCATTCAAGGGTACGTCTATAGCTATCATGTAGCATACATATTTTATATTTATGGATTATTACCGTACACCTGTATGTATGTGCATATGTACGCTTATGTTTCTACATATGTTTGTCCCTTGAATGAATTCGTAAATACATACATATTAAAGTATTCCACACCCTAACTTTGATAACACTTATTTGTGCTGCGCTGATGTTTGTCCGATGCTATTTCCGTTGCAGCTTAGCACCGCTAAGGGTAGCTGCGGCTAAGTGGATATGTGTCTTGGTTTTTATTTTCACTAGGTACATGGGAATTCGCTTATCCATATGTTCCTACAAGCGATGATTCAATATTAATGGAACTACATACTGCCTTTTTTGTTAGCGAAACTTCAGTTTGTTATTAGTTTAAGCTATTTACATACATATATGTACATGGATTAGTGTCATTCAGCATTTTTAGTTACTTAGGATGTTAGTCGGCATGTATTATTCTGTATTAATTATTGTACAATCTTCAACCTTACTTGATAGAATATTCTCTATGAAATCATTTAATTTTTTTTACAAAAATGTGCGAAAGCAGGTGACACTCCGAACTCAAACTCGCGATATCCGACTTCAACTTCGACTTAGAACATTTTGCAGACTTGTTCAATATAACACAAGCAAAGCTTTGGTGCGTTTTTTAATGAATATTTTCTTTACTTTGATATAATAATGCAAAAACTTTGAAGAAAAAAACAAATGAATGAAGAAAGACCGAGCAATACAGAAATCTGTCAAATTTGGTTGGATAGTGCTGGCAAACTATCGATAGTATCGATGGGAAATCACTATCGCAACTATAGATGGCGACCGTTATCGGCCATATTTGAAGTTCGATAGTCTGCGTTCAAACACGGAAACTCGAGTTGCTTATTATCGGTGATTTCTCTTTTGGTGTTGCCCTTTCCACACAGAAACTTTTTTGTACGCAATTGTTGTTGTCAGCTGTGAACCGCTAAGGTCGGTGCTATGCGGACAAACTTTTGTTTGCCAAATTAAATGGCGGCTGTTTAGTTTGCTCGGAGGTGGTTATAACTATGTTCACATATCAATATTATCACAATCAAAGCTCGTTTTTTAATCACCCCGTTTACACAGGCAAATCTCAGATTATTAGCCGTCAAATTTGTTTTGCTGTTATTCTCACATCTCAAGGAAAAGTTATGTTTCTTCTCTGTGGCACCGTGATCACGTTTTTATGCTATAATAGGCCATATAAATATATTTTAACTTAACATTTTATTAAAAATACCTTTACAAACCTCTTTTCCTTGCTAGCGTACATTTTTGTTTACTTTTACATTTGGCATTTCACCTCTTTTTTGCAAAAACAATCGATAAAACTAGAGTGGACACCGAAAAGTTATCGGTTTAATCTGAGATTATTTTATAATTACAGATTAACAGGCTAACCTAATATTCACGCACGCCGCCAATTTACTGTCAAAAATTTCTCATGCACATACAACTTGTATGGGACCAACCGAAATTGAACGGCGTGCGTATGAAGCTAACTCAATTTCCAATTTTTGTTCTGCGTGACATTTTGATTTGACGTTTCGCTCAATGAGATCAAATGCAAACGCACGCAAGCCAATTTCGGGTGACGCAAAAAAACAAATTCGACGGCGTGCGTACCAAAACGCAAGCCGCGAATATTAGGTTAGCCTGTAACAAGGAACGATTTTTATATGGCTAATCTCTTGTTATAATTACAG